TGTCTCATATAACATGCTGTATTCGATTTCATGGATCAGTTTACGGCAACTCATTATATTTTAAGTAAAAAAAAAGTTCTTTTTCCATGATATTCTCATTTGCTTGAAACCCATTTTGATCGAATTGATGATCATCCTGGGCTAAGTTGGCTTAAACTTCATTTGGACTGACTGTTCGCCAACGGAATAATCAAATCTAGACAATTTAATGATTAGGAATCACACCGCGGCGAGCTATTTTTCTTTTCTACCTCAATACATGAGAAGCGATTCGAATTTTCATAAAATCATAAAATCGATCCCATTGTTGACATTAAATCGAAACATTTCCATTTTCTTACGCATACCAGTTGATTTAATTAGATACGATTGATTTATACATTATCAAATTACTTGGCCGAAATAGCTGCCAGACATGTTACTGTGATGTAAATATCGAAATGGCTTTTTACGTTCGTAAAATTTGTTGTTTCTATTTAGCTTCGAAATGGCACACGAAATTCGTTCCATTGGCAAAATTTCGTTGGGTTTTGCCTGCGAATTATTTGATCGAAAATTTATGTTTGCATACTCCTGCTTTTTTTTCTTCTTTATTACACTCTTCATCGGCTTTTGGTCAATGTGTGTGTGTGATTTATTCTTATCATTGTTGTTGCATTCAATTAAAAACGAATCAGATGATTTTTTTTTAAATGAATGAACAATTTTCACGCGAATCAAAAAGTGCTATTGACACCATTAACTTGCGGCGCAAAGGGAAGGAAGGTGATACGAACAAAGAAAAACCGCTGTGATAAACAGCCGGCGAGTGCACGTGTATTGCGATGCATTTGAAATGGAATTACTGCATTGTATAAACAGTGTGTCATTTTGCAAATTCAAACGGCAAATAGAATGTGCAATTGTGCATGCCATTGCACATTGCTCGACGTGGCTTGTGTCGGGCGAGGGCGAAAAATTATTGAAAAAAAAAACACATAATATTGATGAATTTGCTATTTTCGTAGCACGTGAAACCCAATGCGCGGCGGCCCAAAACTCAATCGTATATCGTGCATTTCCTTTGTAAATGGCTCCCTGTTGTGTTTGTGTTTGTGTGTGTGTGTGTAAATATCATTCCCCCTAAAATTCGGCCAGCACTCGATAGAATGGCCGAGATCATGTGATGCTATTTTGGGCGATAAGCCATGCATATAACTGCGAATTATGGAAATGTAAGTGATTCTTACTCAATTGCATGTTCGATTATCATGGCATACACACAATCAGCGGCAACAGCAGCAGAATCACAAAGCGAGTATGAGCAACAAGCGACAGGCAATAACAAACCCGATTCGAGAACAGAAAAATGGTATATTCCGATGGCAGTATGTGTCTCATTCTTGTCTCCCTCTCCCTCTGCTTTTCTTTCTCTCGCTCTCTTAAAACGTATATTTACCGCATTTTTTACGCGTATGTAGTGTATCAAATGTCAGACACGATATAAAACGCTAATATTACAATATATTCGATTTCACACGACACAAACACACGGCGCGGTGTGTCGGTGGCGGCAACAAACATGTAAAAGGAGACGATTCAAAAAAAAAATTGACACAAACAACGAAACAGCAGGAATAATCGGCAAAGAGATAGAGATAGATAGATAGAGCTTTGGCTCTGCCTAGGCAAGTAAAAAGCCAATGGTTAGATTTTTTTACTTCGTCGTTTTACTTGCGACAAAAGAAAGAGTAGCAATAATTCAATTTGGTCTTTGTTTTTTTGAAATGAATGAGTAATGAAGAGAGAGAGAGAGAGAGAGAGAGAGAGAGAGAGAGAGAGAGAGAGA